ATCTATATTCGAAGACGTAAGTATTTTGTAATTAAATGTTTTTATTATGTCTGTTAAGCGACAATAATGTAATTACCCACACTGATTTCAATTAAAACGTTGCACGGTGAGATTGTGTGCTATATTTGAAACAAGAGGATTATCGACCGTTTAACATTGTCACGCCTTGTACTGATCGATAATCATGGAATTGGCGCAAATAGAATCTTATAAGATTTCTATAATCGAATTATGTTTCGATTTGAATCCCTACAACAGTTCTATTTTTATAAATCGTTAAGGACACTCCTTAATAAGCAAAAAGATATATAATTGCGTATTAGGCATTATAAAGAAATTGTTAGATTTGTTGGTGAATAAAAGATCCCAATTTCAATTTTAGTGTTTTAAGTGTCTTAAAAATATTTGCAAGTATACAAAAAAATTGTCAGTGTTATATATTTAAGCAACTGACTTAGTATTTGGCTGTGACCACAAAATAATACCAATCTCCTTCACCCTGATGATTGGCTTCCGATGGGCTTGAAGTTAATCAGGGCAGATATAAAATGAAAGTTTAATAAATCACCAGCAACATAAAGGGTTTGCTAGGGTTCGGAGAGCTGGGTTGACTGGATTAATCTATGTCCTGTTCTCACGCAAAATATGCGCTAGCTGTGGAGTTGTGGAAACCATAGCCCCTACAATTACTACTACTACTAGCGTAATAAATTCTTATAAAGTTTTTAACAACTTAATTTTTTACTCAGATTGACATGGTTGAAGACCTGAAATTGATATGCACATAAATATGTCATCATCAACTTGCCCGTATCCCTTATGGAGGGTCGGCACAGTATGTGCTGCTCTTCCATACATCTCTATCAGCCGTCATATCTGAATCCATTCCTTTCTTAAGCATTTACATAATTATATGTAACTTATATAAAATGTAGTTCTCGATTAGTGTTAAAACATTTTTATTTATAGCTTATAAAATTCATATGGGTATGGTTTAAATTTAACCTTGGTGATAATCTGATAATCACTTCCCTTGACTGTTATTAAAAATACACATACTTTAATTGTGTAAAATAAAAGCATGAATTACATTTTAATGGCAACTTTTTGTGTGCGGAATTATTAAATATAGTAACAAATATACCCTATACCTTTTACATGTGACTATCTGTGGAAATAATAAAAAACAAAAGTGAGTAGTCTATGTTTTTCCAGACTGTCCTTTACATCTATGCCAAAACTCATCTAGATCTGGTCAGCACTTTTGGCTACAAACTCTAACAAACATCCATCCATCTAAACTTTCACATTTATAATATTAGAAAAATGTTACTTAGTGATAAAGTAACTTTGGGAGCTTTAGATTTTAGGTTTATTTGTATATACAAAATACAAATCTTTATAATAGAGAACATAGATAATTAATTTTAAGTCTAGTAAACAAACAGTAATTACGATTACTTTTTTACTTGTAATTATTGTTAACTAAGTTTCTCCCCTGACTCCATCCGCGTGGATTAAAAAAATAAAACTGAGTAGCCTATGTGTTCTTCCAGACTATCCCCTATGTCTATGCCTAATTTCATTCAAATCTGTTCAGCCGTTTAGGCTACAAACTCTAACAAACATAAACAGCTTCTAAATTTACATAACATATGTTTTTAACCTTGTATTTGACCTGTATTTTGAAACAATTACATATGACCTTTTCCTCGAATATCTGATCAAACATTAATTCAAAGCCCATTATTTTTGCAACCACGATTACAATCTTGATGGTATTTTAAAATAATTGCTTGATTTTTTAGCTTTTCAGTTAGTGTACCTCATTAAATAAAAAGATTATTTGAAAAATAGATAAAAGATTTATTTATGTTTATATCTCAGCATAGTAAAGAATCACTATGCAAATATTCATTTTTTTTTATTTCGACAACTTTACTATAGTAAGGGATAATGTTTTAAATTTTTTCCTGTTTGCATAACATTATTTATTACGTAAATATATCCTGTTTATATGACGTATATACCGCATAAATAACATCCGTTAGTACATACAGTGTGGTTTATTTAAATAGAATTAAATAATAAAAAAACAGTAACTATAATTTTTTAATTTCAATAGACGAAATCATGAGCAACAGCTAGTTAGTAATATAAATAAATAACTTTAAAAATAAACATATTTCATGAGAGCCTTGGCTCCTGCACTAGGTTCCCCTGTGCTGCAGGAGCCAAGGCCTTTCCCCATTTGTGAAGAGCAATACATGTTCATAAGCGTCTAAACGTGAAATACAAAGAAAAACGTTAAACATTAAATTTACTTAAAAATGACAAATAAAAAACAAAGGAAAAAGAAAATTACATACATTTTTTTGTGCGATAGCGTTTTTGAGTGTTATGAGTGTGAGTGTGTGGGAGAGTATGTGAAAATATATAGCCTAAAGCGTAAGTGTCGGGCTTTTTATTGAAAAAAGAATTATTCAAAAATATGCTGTAATAGTTGACATCTTAGGCAAAGAAGTGTGTGTTTACGCTTTATTATAATAGTATAGATTAAACATTACTAAAGAAAATTGAACATTGAACTAAGATTCGCAACCCCTCAGCTAAAGTATGAAAATAAAATGCATAAATTTATAAATCTTCAGTAGGTCTTCAGAGATATTTTACAAGGCTAACCTGACCTATTCACGAAGGCCCTGACATTGACGCCCTTTTTAACTTGGAATATAGCCAACGTTTTACTTCTTAAAGAAAGCATATTTTAATATAGCTATGTGACATTTATAACTGTTTCCATTGCCGTAAAACTTGTATTTAAACAAGGAAATTCGTTTACTTGAAAAAAAAAGAGAATAGCATGTTCTGTATACATTCGTAAGCATAATTTCGAAGTCTATTTATTCGTCTTATATTCTTTTCCACAGGTTCTTGCCTAAGGGCATTTCAATAAATCATTCAATGAAGTATCAGTCTATACAAATATCTTGTCAGCTCAAGGCATCTATTTACGCTCCGCTACACCTAAAATGATATTCTGCGTAGCGATTCGTACGATGTTTCGAGCCTCCAAGATATTTGATAACTACTATACCGAGATTTGATACAATTTAGTTAGTCAATTGAAGCACTTTTAATTTCAGCCGTCAGTAATGCTGCCGATATGGACATCGGAATTCCTCCAGGCCGTCTCTCGTATGGACCCAAAGTTTATAGCACTACATTTGCAAGAAGTTGGGGGGAAAGCTTACGAGAAATCAATGCAGTATGTGGAGGACTTCGTGCAGAGATTATGCGATTGCCCCGAATTGAGATTGTATGACAAGATCCGCATATTCCTGGATGAAGATTTCAGCTCACCGGAGAGGTTTACGGTTAGTAGATACTTAGATATAAGGGAGATAATACTAGAGTTTCAGTACCTTGTTGGAGAAAAGTTCTCAAGCAGACCGTTGTCAATTATTATTACTTTGAAGTCGGTGTCAGTCAATGTAGATTTATTACTGAATTGTTAATATACTTTCAATTGTCAATTGTTATGGTAAAAATGTGGAAACCCTTACGTAGAAATATCACTGCATACCTTGGCTGACACCGACATCAAAGTAGTAATAATTGTACAATATAGACATAACAGTTACAATAAGGTAGGTTTGCTATTTTCAAGGAATTATGTCGTTACTTTTTAGTGTTCTGTTTTTTGAGAATATTTTGTTTTTAGTGTATTTTGTTTGGAAGTCGGTTTTATTTTTTTAATTAAAAAGTTTATTTTCTAATTAGAGTACTGTTCAGTTTTTTTTCAATTTGTCGTTGTTCAATTTCTGTGTCCAAAAAAATCCTTTTAGTGTAGCTTCCTAGAAAATATTGTAAGCTAAGTCATTGTGAGCAGACTTGATTTACTAGTATTGTTGAAACCTGTAAGTACAACTTTGTGTTCTTTCCCGCCTTTTCATGACGTCATCTTTGCATTCCAACGAACGGCAATTCTTGATACTTTATGAGTAATCAAAACAGATTTCCGTGTTTATTCTTTACCAACTAGGAAATCTTTTTTTAATGACCTAATTGTTATTACGTATGTTAAATATTTTTTATACTTAACACTTCATTTAATGTTATTGTTGTTTATTTTATTACTTTGTAAATACTATTTTTTTGATTACTAGAAATATGTTCCAAAAGCTGTCCCTGTGTATGCCAGAAGCCATTTTAATTTTTACATTTATTAAGAAAAAAGTGTTTTATTACCAAATGTTTTCTCAGATTTTGGTCTACCTTGACTCTTGGATGATCTTAACAGGTGCGACTTTATTCGTTGGATGATTAAGTTGTATACAAGCTTTCGCCCTAGACTCTGTCCGCGTAGAAAAAACAAAAATGATTAGCCAATGTGTTCTTCCAGACTCTTGATCTATACCGAATTCGAGATCCGTTCAGCAGTTTAGGCTACAAAATTTATCAAACATCCATCTAAACTTTCGCATTTATAATAGTACTAGCTGTTCTCGTGTGGTTACACCCGCATTGAATTATAAAATTTTTATTTTATTATTTACATTTATCAAATTCTCAATTGCAAATTTCAAAATACCAATTTTATATTTTTATTATATGAAACTTACTATGGTAATCTTGCTTCCTTAATGTTGGCAGAAACTTATGGTCTCTTTCCACGTTAGGGTTTTTATCCAAAATGTTTAATGGCGTAAAATATAGCTTAAAGCGTGACGTACGTGCAGGGCTTTTTATTAAAAAAAGAATTATTCAAAAATATGCTGTAATTGCTGACATCTTAGGCAACAAAGAAGTGTGTGTTTACGCTTTATTATAATTGTATAGATTAGAATGATAAAGACGGGTTCCTTGTTTGCCAGGCATTAGGTAACATGTACTTCGCGCACTCTTCACTAACTGATATCAAGATCTGGGACTTCGAGGTGAAGGGCTACGTGGACGTGGTCGGCAAAGAGGTGAACAGCGGTAATATTGAGAAGGTCACTACCAAAGAGAAGGCCAAATTTCCACAGCATTTCTTTCCTGAGGTAATTTGAAATATATACTGAACTAGCATTCGCTCGCGATTCCGTCCGCGCGGAATTAAAAAAAAAACTACAGTGAGTAGCCTATGTCTTCTTCCAGACTATCGTCTACATCTATACCAAATTTTAACGAAATTCAACCGTTTAGGCTACAAAGTCTAACAAACATCCATCCATCCATCCATCCATCCATTCATTCATTCATTCATTCATTCATTCATTCATTCATTCATTCATCCATACACCCATCCATCCACCCGGCCATCCATCCATCTAAACTTTCGCATTTGTAATATTAATTAGTATGGTTATTTTAACAGTGGTAGAGCCCGCTTTAACATCTTAGCACTGCAGTAAGGGGAAATATCCTCTTTATGTGCGTCTCCTCCTCCGTCGGATAAGGGTAGGCAACGCATCTGTAATTACGGATGTTTATGGGCAGCGGTCGCTTCGCCATTTTGGCGGATTCAGGTGGCCGCTTGCTTGTTTGCCACCTTATGTTATATTAAAAAAAAAGATTATTGAAAACGTCTTTTAATAAGATGTTCAAAGTAATGTTATTGAAAATTAAACTATACGTTTTTAATATCAATCAATGACCTTGAAATGTCAAAATCGTTAATGTACAGTCCGGAATTCTGGCGGTTTCCAACTTAAAAACCAAAATCATTTGATCGTTTCGTTCGGAATAATAAACGCAGCTCTTAAATGTGTTTGTATAAAAGGTCGGTTAGTGGTCCACGGTTAATTGATTTTTATTATAATGCCCGGTTCACACTTGATCAGTAGCGCTCAATTGGACTGGCAATCAACTATACAATCTATGACGCCAGCATCTGTCCAACTGTAATGGCAAAGTGTGAACCGCGCATTACACTGTCGTTTACGCAACTAAGTAGTAATTTGGTTACTATAAGAGGCGGAGTTTGTCTCATTGTAAGGAACGAGATAATTAAACATGGAATACCACAAATTTCCCCGACCGTACAAATAAAAATAAAATTAAAATGTGACATTTAAATAATTTTAAGAGCATGTACACACCTTTGATTTAATAATCGTTCAACTGTTTTGTTTCGCTTTGATTCCTATGATCTTATATGGAGGTGATACTACTCGATTTTTAGTTGCGCAAAACAGTTGAATTGGCTGCAAAACAATCGACGATCGTACAACTGTTTTGTGATAGTTTAGTCAAAGGTGTGCGCCCGCACTAAATTTATTAAATATGACTTAGCTTACATATGGTTTATGGTGACGGCACCGATTTCAGACCCGTTTGGAGTCCATCTTTAAATTACTCGGTGCCAGTCAGTCAGTTTTTAATACGTTTTGATATATCATGAAAGTTTTATTAATTTCAAATATGTGCTGTTTTAATGTTATTAATTCTTGTTATCAGTGTAAATGGTCGAGGAAAGGTTTCCTGCGCACGCGCTGGTTGGTGCGCGGCACCGCGGTGGAGTTTGTCAACATACATCTGTTTCATGACGCATCTAATCTTGTCGCTATGGAACCATTCCCTTCGGTGAGTTCATTTTACTAACTTTCGCCCGCGACTCCGTTCGCGTGGAATAAGAAAGACACAAAAGTAGCCAATGTGTTCTTCCAGATTATCCTCTACGTCTATACCAAATTTCATAGAAATCCGTTCAGTCGTTTAGACTACAAACTAACAAACATCCATCTATACTTTCGCATTTATAACAGTAACAGTGGTAGGGCCCGCTTTAACATCTTCCAGTAATACCACGACCACACAGAAAACAAGCGTGAAGTGGAAGTAATTCCGCGTACAGTCTGATGAGTGTGGTGCCGGAGGCCTAATTTTAGTCCCTTTCCACGCTTTTCTTAAGAAGCTAGGATGTGAAGGAAAAGTGTATTTGACGGTGGAGGAGACGCATAGGAAAGGGAAATGTCATCTTTATGTGCGTCTCCTCCGTCAATGAAGGGCAAAACATCTCAATTGCGGATGTTTATGAGCAGCGGTCGCTTTCCATTTCGGTGGATTCAGGTGGCTGCTTGCTACTTTGCCACATTATATTGTAAAAAACATAATATTAGTTTGATATATTGTAGGTGTACTGCCGCAGTCGTCGTCGTGCGTTACGTCACACGTTACGTCATCTACACGCGGACCCAAACTCCGCACCGTACTTTATATTCGGGGATTTCAATTTTAGGACTGACACAGGCGGTGTTGTTAAGGTAATGGTCTATATATACAAGCTTTTGCCCGCGACTCCGTTCGCGTTGAATTAAAAAAAAACAAAAGTAAGTAGCTTATGTGTTCTTCTAGACTATCCTCTACATCTATGCCAAATTTCATCCAAATCCGTTTAGCAGTTTAGGCTACAAACTGTAACAAACATCCATCCGTTTAAACTTTCACATTTATAATATTAGTATGATATATCTATACTAATATAATAAAGCGTAAACACACACTACTTTGTGGCGTACGATGTCAGCAATAACAGCATTTTTTTGAACAATTCTTGCTTTAATAAAAAGCCCTACACTTACTATACGCTTTAGGCTAAATATTTTCACGCTATTGAATTTAGAGGGTGTGCAAATTGGAAAAACCTTTGTACGGGAAGGGACAAAATCAACAAGCCAAACCAGTAAAGAAGCAAGTTTCCATGGTAACGGTAATTGTTAACCAATGGTAAAGGCCGTTTTCATTTGTGCATTTTAATTGTCACATTGACAATTTAAAGTTACACAAATGTCTAATTTGACAATAAATTGGAGGGATTTTTTAATTAATTAAAAATATTTTCACAAATATCCTTAATAATAGGAAAGGAAAGGTATAATTTGATTAAAAACCTTTTACAGCTCTAAAACACTATATTTTATCATGTACATTAAAAGAATTTTAAATATAAAGAACGTTCTAGAAAATGACAGAAGAGTTGACAGCGTGTCGCCTCCAGCACGGGAACGCGGACAGCAAGATGCAGTACAGAGCGAGAGAGAACGACCGCCTCGTGCTCAGCGTGGCCAAGAAGGAGTTCTCGCATGCTGACCATCAGAAGATATTCAGGGAGCCTTGGGTGAGTCTAGAAGATTCTAGAAGTAACTACTAAGCCGAAAATGTACAAAGATGTTGAAATAAGGTTGGTAGTAATGTTTCTTTTATACGAAAAATACTTACCTTTTAGTTAAAAACTTTAATTTATCTAAAAATTTCAATAAAAATCTGATTTATGGCTTAGATAATAATTAACAAACACTACATCTTAGTTTCTATAAATTTTAAAATCATCTCTTATTATGTCTGTCTTTTACTATAAAAAAAGTCTAACTGGCTTTCACCTGCGACTCCGTCCGCATGTAAAAAAAAATGAAAGTAAGTTGTCTATGTGTTCTAGACTATTTCTATATCTTACTTATATTGTAGATGCAAAAGTTTGGATGGATGGATGTTTATTAGAGTTTGTATCCTAAACTGCTGAACGGATCTCTGAAATTTGGATGTATAAAATAATCTGGAAAAACACAGGCTACTCACTTTTGTTTTTTTTTTATTCAACGCGAACGAATTCGCAGGCGAAAGCCTGCTATGACAAATTTAACCTTCAAACTCTAAAAACATCCATCTAAAGTTGTCGCATATACAAACTAGCTTTCTATGCCTATGTGTTCTTCCAGACTATCCTCTACAACTCTGCCAAATTTCATGGAAATCCGTTCAGCAGTTTAGGCTACAAACTCTAACAAACATCCATCCATCTAAATTTTCGCATTTATAATATTAGTATGATTAAGTTTATTAAGATTTAGTACTTATTAGTGTTTTTTTTTTAATTAAAAACAGTGTTTTCTATAACTTTAACATTATAATATTAATGTGTTTTTCCAGCTTCAACGATACGACAGAGAGCTAGAAGCGCTGCGGCCGCATTTATACGAGTACCCGGTGAAGTTCCCGCCGAGCTATCCCTTTGAAGAGAATGTCCAACTACCCACACATTATATGAAGACCAGGTGAATTATCGCATTTCTTATTTGATTGTAGCTTCCTAATGGTGAAATTTTTTTTTAAAATAGGTTCAATAGTTTGAGTTATTTCAATACATACAAAAATCTAAAAATACATATCTTTCCTCTTTATTATATTACTAGCTGTGGCCCGCGACTCTGTCCGCGTGGTATTAGAAAACATACGAACTATATAAATAACAAAAAGCTACGTATCCCTCGGGAACCGGACATTTCTCGGGGATGAACTTTATCACATGTGTACTCCAGACTTTGTTTTATATCTGTGACCAATTTCAATACGATATGTTGAACCGTTGCAGAATGATCGAGTAAACATTAAAAAAACTATATTAATGAATCCCACGGGAACCGTAACTATTCCCGGGATAAAAAGTAGCCTATGTGTTCTTCCAGACTATGCTCTAAACCTGTACCAAATTTCATGGAGATCCGTTCAGCCGTTTAGGCTACAAACGCTAACAAACATCCATCCATCGTAACTTTTGCATTTATAATATTTATGATATGATTGTAAATTATATTTCTTATTTTTAAATAACGTCTTACTAATATTATAAACGAAAATTTAGATGGATGGACGTTTGTTAGAGTTTATAGCGTAAATTGCTGAAATTATTTCGATGAAATTTGGTACAGATGTAGAGGATAGTCTAAAAGAACACATAGGCTACACTTTTGTATTTATTCCACTCGGACGGATTCGCGGGTGGAAGTTAGTTCTTTATAAATAACACTTAACTTGAAACTCCTTCGACATTTACTTAATAGTTTTTTTTGTTTTTTTTTAGGTTGTTTATTTCTTTTTTTTTATATATAGTGTAGTGACATTGTCGGTGTTGCAGATGTCCAGCGTGGTGCGACCGCGTGCTGCTGTCCCAGTCCGCTCGCCTGCTGGTGCAGCAGCCTGACAGGTCCGGAGACTCCAGACATCATACTTCCAGGTACTAGAAATAAAAATTAAAACCTTTTTTATTTGGACATAGTTATTACTCGCGACTTCGCTGGCGTAAAATTTAAAAATATGTATAGCCTATGTTACTCAGTGATAACAGTATTTTTGAGTGTTTTCAAAAATCCAAACATACAAAATCTTTTCTTTTTATGTTAGTACGAGCTGTAGCCTGTAAATTTTGTTAGCGCAAATTTGTCCACCCGTTACGCCATTTTGATAACGCGGAATTAAAAACGTAGCCTAAAATATGTCTACCCATGTCAGCTACTCTTCAATAAAAGTCCGTTAAAATCGGCACAGCCATCTTTGAGATTACTTGAAAAAAACGTGACTTGCGGACACACAGACGTTTTCTTTTTAAATGCAATTTTCGTTATCAGTATCGCAAATACATCATCCCGAAATCTAGATTTTTTTTTGATAATACAAACAGACACTCCAATTTTATTATATGTATAACGGCTTCAGCTAGCACGATATCAGAATTACTACTCGAGACCATGTGTGGGCGACATTAGGTAAAGTCGAATGCCAGGAATATATTCACAATACTCCTCAGTCAGGATATCATCCATCTACCAAGCTCATATCGTTCAAACAATGTTCACGCAACAATCTTTATTTTCAGAATAATCTAAGTTCTCTCAAAAGTCACTTGGCGGCGCTCGTGTTCTATAACAAATTCAAATTGAATTTTTCTTCTGATTGCGACATGTATATATATATATAAATATGTATTTCAGAAAGTCAGTAACAGATTCGACCGACAGCAACAGCCGGCTGTCCTCCTCCGACAGCAGCCCGGCACGCTCGCACTCGCCCACACTATATCTTACTCTTACTAATATTATAAATGCGAAAGTTTAAATGGATGGATGTTTGTTACAGTTTGTAGCCAAAACAGCTGTACGGATCTCGATGAAATTTGGCATAGATGTAGAGAATAGTCTGGAGGAACACGTAGGCTACTTAATTTTGTTTCTTTTATTTCGCGTGGACGAAAGCTAGTAATATTATAAACTATATTTATACTATTATAATAAAGGGTTAACACACTTCTTTGTTGCCTAAGATGTCAGCAATTACAGCACTTTTTTGAATAATTCTTTTTTTTAATAAAAAAAAACCCTATACTTATATCACGCTTTAGGCTATATATTTTCACGCCGTTAAACTTAGGGGGTAAATATTTTAGATAAAAACCCTAATGTGGGAAAAGGACCATAAGTTTCTGCCAACATCAAAGAAACAAGGTTGTTATCATGTCATGTCATTTTGACATTTGTAATTGATAATTTCACAAATGTATACAATAAAATAAAATTTTCATAATTTTATGCGGATGAAGTCGCGCGGGGACAGCTAGCTACTATGTTATAATTATAAAAGGAACTTATTAATGTAGCATAAGTATTACAAATCATTTTTTTTTGTTATTTTATAACAAGTCATCATCATCACCAGCTCACTATACGTCCCCACTGAGGTGCTCGGAGCCTACCCTAAGTAAGGGGTGATTAGGCCATAGTCAACCACCCTGGTTAAGTGAGGGTTGGTTGACTTCACACATATCTTTGAATTTCTTCGCCGATATGTGCATCACGATGTTTTCCTTCACCGTAAGGACGTCGGGTAAATTATGTACATATGAAAATTCGAAAAATCGAAAATCACACAGCGGGATTCGAACCCAAGACCTGTAGATTACAAGTCAAGTGCTTAAACCCCTGAGCCATCGACGCTTTATATATAACAAATAGAATCGTTTAAAAAAAAAGATACATATATATTCCCTATTGTTCCGCAGTGCAGTGGCAAGGTGTTGGAGAAGAAGTGCAGCGTGTCGGAGCTGGAGGTGCCGGCGCTGCCCGCGCAGCTCGCACTCACCAGGAAGAGCATCGCCGACCCCACCAGCCTGCAGCACGCACTCACCACACGGTCAGTACAATATACCCCCCTCTATATATGCATTTTGTATAAAAATATCAAAAAATCCTTTAAACGCCTTTATTGGCTAAAAAATTATAACGTTAATCAGTTACTATGTCTACGTTTTTGTCTCTGTCGTATAGCAAATTACATTAATTTATTCACCCCCCTATCTAAATAGCGTGAAAATATAGCCTATAGCATGTAAAAAAATATGATGTGATTGTTGTATCTATAGTAATATTATGAAGAGGAAAGATTTGTATTTTTGTATGTGTTGAAATAACTCAAAAACTACTGGGCCGATTTTAAAAATGCTTACACCATTAGAAAGGTAATTTATCTGCGAGTAACATAGGCTACATTTTTTATTATTTTTAAAGTTCACGCTTGCGAAGTCACGAGAAACAGCTAGTGTCATGTAAAGAGGAAAGATTTGTATTATTTTCGTATGTATTAAAATAACTTAAAAACTACTGGGCCGATTTCAAAAAATCTTTAAAAGCTACGTTATCACAGAGTAACATAGGCTTTTCACTATTCTTTAATTTCACGTAGACTAAGTCGCGAGCATTAACTAGTACATAATGAAAACAAAGTATTGTGTGTTTATGCTTTATTATACAAGTATAAATTGAAATCCCTCTGATTCTCTTTGATTAAAACAATTTGTTCCAGTGGTTCTCAATTTTTTTTTCTAGCCCCCCCCCCTTTAATACTTTATTCGAGGGGGATTTTTTAAATGAGGTATTCAAGAGCTTTGTTTTCAAAACTATCGTACTATTTTCTACTTTCAATATCAAGTTGAGTCACAATTAATTATATTTATGCTGTTTTATAAAAAAAATAAACCTTTTACAGTGGTTCCGATTCTGACAGTTCTCCTAACCGTCGCCGGTTGGTTCGCAACCAGTCGGAAGGTTCGCCCAAGTCGGAGGGCGAGCTGCGCCGACTTGCTGACGTCACGGCTCGGCGCCGCACCGACTACGGCGTCATCGGCGACACCGCCTGCATGGGCGACCACAAGGTAACTTACTATTTTTTTATCGTTTTTAATCTATACTATTATAATAAAGCGTAAACACACACTTCTTTGTTGCCTAAGATGTCAGCAATTACAGCATATTTTCGAATAATTCTTTTTTTAATAAAAATCCCTACACTTACGTCACGCTTTAGGCTATATATTTTCAAGCCATTAAAGTTAGGGGGTAAATATTTTGGATAAAAACCGTAATGTGGGAAAGAGATCATAAGTTGCTGCCAACATCAAGGAAGCAAGATTGCCATAGTAAGGTAATTGGTATTTTAACATTTGAAATTGAGAATTTGACACATGTGAACAATAAAACTATGAAAATTTTATTTTATTGTTTACAATGTGTCAAATTATCAATTCCAAATGTCAGAATGACATGACACGACAAACCATGACAACGTTGCTTCCTTGATGTTGGCAGCAACTTATGGTCTCTTTCCCACACTAGGGCTTTTATCCAAAATATTTACCCCCTTAGTTTAATGGCTTTAAAATATATAGCCTAAAGCGTGACGTAAGTGTAGGGATTTTTATTAAAAAAAGAATTATTTAAAAGTATACTGTAATTGCTGACATCTTAGGCAACAAAGAAGTGTGTGTTTACGCTTTATTATAGTAGTATAGATTGCATTTTATATTTTAACTGTAAATATTGTATTTTAAATTTTAACTGACTGTATGTTTAAAATATATAGTTTAATAAAATAAAATAAACTCCTTGGATTTGCTATGCCAGGGGGAGAACGACGGGGCAGCAAAGGGCCGTCCAAAAGAAACATAGTAACTATAAGTAACATAGTAATTGAAATAAGGTACTAACACAGTAACCGCAATACAGAATAACTGATACGAACACAAGGCATAGTAACGCAAAGTAACACATAGTTACTCACCAACCGTAAAGTTCCGCATAGTAACGAAGTAACATGGTGATCGAAAGGTAACACAGTTACTCACGGAATCCGCAAATTACCTCATAATAACACATGGTGACCGCAAAGTACCTTATAGTAACTAAAGGTATGACAGGTAATGAATAACTAGCGGTAACATAAGTAAATTTAATTTAATACATGGTGTCAAGAGACGTTACTGTATACATGGGCGTCGCCAGTATTGGGGGATGCTATCTCCCTACACCAAGCATATATCGACTGGCGACGCCCATCACTATTACCTACGTAATGCATAGTAACTTCAGAAAACCAAAAGATAACATTCTCAAAAAACATTAACTAAATAATGCACAAGCTGTACAATGTTTGGTAAAATTTTTTAATAAACATGGTTTAGGGTATGTCCCACCACTTGCTGATAGAGCCTCAGATAGCTTAAAAATGACATCACTGCCAAATAAAAGAACAAAATCCGATATTTCCATCATATATTTACACGTTCGATTGTTATCTTTACTTACTTTTTAAGAAATTTGTAATATCTAATCAGTTTAATTTTCTCCAACA